ATGGATCCCACATGGTTCCTCCCTTAGGGTATTTGGTGGTTCTAATATTTTATCTACAACTAAGTGTGAATCCCAACAAATTTAAATGGTATTGGCATAGCTTCCCTGACATCAGCTGTCCATCTCTGATCTACTTAACTGTGATTTGGTGGACCAGGCTTTGATCATGCGATACTCTACTCCTTACTGGGGTGATGGTAAAGATGCAAATAGGATAAAGTAAAGGTGATAGGAGTCCCTATAACTGAACTCACCCAAGATGAGGGTCAATGAAGACGGCCTCTAAAACCACAGAGAAACCCTGTCTTGAAAAACCAAAAAAAAGAAAAAAAAAAAAAAAAGGAAGGAAGGAAAGAAGGAAGGAAGAAAGGAAGGAAGGAAGCAAGGAAGAAAGGTGCATAGAAAGAAACTGTGGTGGTCTGGCCTGAGAACTGAGAAGCAAGTTCGTGCATGAACGGAAAGGGAATGGCAATTCTGAGTCAGCCTGCAGCACAGCCAAGTTAGCTTTGGACTTCGAATAACTTCATACTCTGCAGAAGCTTGCAAATGGATCCCACATGGTTCCTCCCTTAGGGTATTTGGTGGTTTTAATATTTTATCTACAACTAAGTGTGAATCCCAACAAATTTAAATGGTATTGGCATAGCTTCCCTGACATCAGCTGTCCATCTCTGATCTACTTAACTGTGATTTGGTGGACCAGGCTTTGATCATGTGATACTCTACTCCTTACTGGGGTGATGGTAAAGATGCAAATAGGATAAAGTAAAGGTGATAGGAGTCCCTATAACTGAACTCACCCAAGATGAGGGTCAATGAAATGCTGTACAGAAAATATCTTGGGTAACACCTGCCTGATACATGCAAACCGTCCAGAATGCTGTCTGTATCACTCACAGCTGAAAGCCATGGCATGGCATAGCTGATGGGCAGAAATGCTGTACAGAAAATATCTTGGGTAACACCTGCCTGATACATGCAAACAGTCCAGAATGCTGTCTGTATCACTCACAGCTGAAAGCCATGGCATGGCCATATGTCCTCATCCACTTCATCTTTGAAACCAGTATTTTTCTTCATCTGTCAGAGTAGGACAGTCACAGAACTAGCAATCTTGTGACATTTATGAAAAATCTCTTCCAGACCATAATGACCACAAGGTGAAGGAGGTGTTCCAGCAGCTGGTGTTTCTGTGACCCCATCCTTTCCAGCCGGATCTGGTCTCCTTGTCTCATTTGTGCTTACCACACACCCTAACTGACAATGAGGAAATAACCAAATGGAATTTGAAGAACAACCTAGCACAATGACTACACAAACCACATTTTGAGTCATTTGTCATTTCCACGAGTTTATGTGAAAGACACATGGCTACTGGCCAATTTCTTAAACTAAAAATATTCCCCTCTCTTATTAATTTTGATGAGATCATTGATATCAGGGCTTAGGAAGTATGAGTGGAAGATCTGTGTTTTAGAGATGAAGTCATATTTTCTCTCAGCACCTCTTGCCTGCCCAGGAAAAAGTGCTCCACAAGCAGAGAGAAGGAGTAAGGTTTCCATATAGCCAAACTTGGGTAAAACCCAAGCTACTACCAAAAAATGTTATTTCCTTCCTGCTTAAATTGGGCTATATGTAGAATTTAAATATTCCCATTTAATTAGAAGAAGAAGATGAAATGGTCACGAGGGAAGCTTTGATTTGGTGCTGCAGCAGTTGCAGTGTATATCTAGAGGTGAGAATGTCTGCAAAAGAAAGAATTGTCCCAATAAGCCTCACTTATAAAGTTGTTATCAAATACCAAGTGACTTGGAATTTTTTTAAATGCCATATAGTTTATTTTTTGATATTTCAAGTTTTAAAATATAAAGCTTTTAAAATTTCTCCACTTGCTAGGAGATTTCAAAACCAAAAATTATAAAGTAAACTTCTCTCTGAAAGATTTTTTTGAATGATTTCACACAGGTAGGAGACATTACCTAACATATGCCTCTCTTTTCTGTCTTGAAGCTTTTTAAACTTTACCCTTTGCGGCCAACTTCCCCTTTAGTCTCAGAACACTATTTGCTTTAGCAGGAAGTGCACTAGTGCTGCTGCTGGACAGTGTCTCATGGAAACCCCTGCTTTGGATGTTACGAGAAGAAAGGCGTGTTCTTGCATCTTGGTGAGTTGACCGAGAACCTGTACTGTAGGCTTGGAAACTGGGGGTGGGGAATTCTAGTCTTCAGCCTCACTTAGCACAGCCTCAGGATCTGTATTCATCCCTCCTGGATCCCATTAACTCTACTACTGACTTCAAGAAATTGCCCAAATTGGGCTTGATGAGACAAAATCCTCTTTATTCCTGCTGTGAAGTCACTGGGACCTGCCAGTCTGTCAGTTGAGTGGACATGGAGCATCTGGGTGCAGTTCCCTCATGGCAAGAGCTCAGTAGAAATTGCACGACAGTAGCAGCCTTACTGCAGATACTGGAGGAGGCTGCTTCGGGCCTTGCATAATTTTTAGTTCATTATCCATTCCATCATCTTCTTAGTTCAAACTTCTCTCCTCAGCTCAACCCTTGCATTCAGCTATCTTTCAGACCTCTAACCTGTACACTCCATGGGAACCAGCATCTGCAACTATGAAACTCATGGCTTTTCCTTCCCAAACTGTGTCTTCCATCCGTGCATGGGCTCCAGCTGTATTCTCCTGCCTCAGCCAGAAATCTCCTAGTTTAGTAATTCCTGTTCTGTTTGCCTCTATGACCAGTTCCATCAGACCGTGTCCATTGTGCCTGTCCCCAAATCTTTGTCCTTGTGGTTTGTGCTATTCTGTGACACCTAGAAAGGCCTTTGCTCTTTCTCAGTATTTTCCTCTCTCAATCCAAGCAATGGTTAGTGTACTAGTTTCCTTACTGTTGCGTGATGAACTATCATGAGAAAAGCAAATCAAAGAAGAAAGTGTTTATTTTGGCTTATAGTCCTAGAATGATGGCGTACATCATGATGCCAGGAAACTAGCTGATCACATCTCATCTGGACTCGGGAAACAGAGAGCAAACAGGAAGTGGAGCCTAGCTATAAAACCTAAAAGCCCACCCCCCAGTAATGTACTTCCTCCAGCAAGGTTCAACTTTCTAGAGATTCCATCTTTCCCTAACAAGAACACCATGGGGGTTAAATGGTCAAACGCATGAGCCTAAAGGGAACATTTCATAATCAAAACACAGCAGTTAGTCCCCTCCAATTGTTAAAAATATATGCAAACAAATGAATTTTCTTTAAGAAAAATAGCAATGTTAGAACATTTAAAAGGCTATTCATATGTAGAGTATGTCTAGCATATGAAAAGCCATGGGCTTAATTTCCAGCAGTCCATAAAACTGGCCATGGTGGCATATCTGTAATCCTAACATTTGGGAGAAGGAAACAGGAAAATCAGAAATTCAACGTCATCTATTTATGGAGTTCAAGGTCAGCCTTGACAATGAGACCCTATCATAATGAGAAAAAAAGTATATATATTCAAATTGCTAAGTTAATGGCCACTTAGTAGTCATGAAAGTAGTAAACGAAAGCTTATACAGATATGCCAAAGATTTAAGTGTAATTAGACTCAAACTTCAATGTGCTTAGAAGTCCCCATGTAATCTGTTAGAATGCAGGTTCAAACTCACTTGGCCCTTCATGGAGCCTAGAGTTCTGTGTTTCTAACAAGCTCTGCAGATGCTAATGTTGCTGGTCTCAATACCATGTTTTCAGGAGAAGACTAGAGTTTAAGAGCTCCCACTATGTTAATCTACATCTCAAACATCCCTGGCCCTAAAACTTTTAAAAATCATGCCCTTTAAATACAATTGTTCACAACATTGTGATGATGAAGGCTGTGAAGCAACCTTTTGGAGAGGTGAACTACCCTTGTTTATTCACTGTAGGTGATAACCTTTATTTTTATACCAGAGGCAAAAACTTCAATTTAAAAGAATCTCCGTGACATTAAATGACCTTTGATAGACATGGAAACTTTTGAAAGGTTAGATGAAGAGAAGGAAGAGGAGGAGACAAACTAACCCTGGAAATCCACATATGCAGGATAGGAACCTAAAAACATGTTCACAACATTTGAAAAATCACGTTGCTTCATGCTTAGCCACCCATAGCATGTGAGCTTTTACTTCCAGCAAAGGAAAATGAAACGGTCAGGTAATATTAACCACATTATCCTGCATTTGTTTTTCTAAAATAATTGAGCTTCTTTTCATCACTTAATTTTTAAAATAAAGAGAAATATTCTATGAGCTGTAGAATTTGTTGTTTTCCTTATACAAAATTACTCATAAACTTCTTTATGTGAAAAAGATGCTATGTATGTGTGACTTGACCTTTTTCTTTTTACTTTCCACTAGTTTTGAGGTTCTTCATAGTCTACATGTATATATTGTTTCATTAATGTGAAAATGAAGGTAAATCATTTGATACCTCCGTGGCTTTAAGTTATTCTGTATGACTAATAGTTCTTGAATGTTGTCTTTAGACTATTGCAAACTCCTTTATAAACCTTATTTCATTATACCCTGGGACACAATTTAATATAGTGGCATGATGCTTTAATCATGAAAAGTTCCTTCCACAACCTCTTGAATTGAATGCTTGCTTGGTTCTCAGCTTATGGTGATATTTTAGAAAATGCTGGAAACCTTAGGAGGTTGGCCTTTGCTAGAGGAAGTGGGCTGCTGGGGCTGGAATCATAGAGGTCTGTTCTCTCCAGCCTTTTCCTGCCCCTCTGTCTGCTTCCTGTCCACCATAAGGGCAGTAGCTTCTGCCACATGATTCCACCACTGTGATGTTACTGGTATAGACTCAAGCAGCTGCCCATGACAGGTTGAGCTTCCTGAAACCACAAATCAGAATAAACCATTCCTCTCTTTAGGTTGTTGTTTCAGGTAATTTGGTCACAGTGTCACTCATCCTGCCCCCACTCTAGTGCTTATGGTGGCTTACATGCATTAGTCCTTACAATGACAAGAAAAAACAAACCTTTATTTCTTACTGAATGTGATTTTTTAAAAGAATTTGCTACATGGTACCCGATGTTAATTACAGAAGAATAAATAGCTGTGCACAACTTTTTGACATTGCAATTTGATGCCCTCACCTGCAAACTTCAAGCTCAAGAATGGTACAATCAAGTTACTGGAAACATGCACAACAATTTCACAGTGTTTTAAGTAAGTTGGCCATTTTGCACAGGGTACCGGGATGTGAGGGTCACAGGCTGCAGGTTGGACATGCCTGCAAGAGCATCATCACCTAGGTACAGAGAAGAGTGGACTGTGAGATTTGACAGTGGCTCAGGAAAGCCTGTCACCAACTTCAGCATGGTGACGGAATGCTAAAAATGTTCACGTGAAAAGGAAAATCTTAACTGATGGCTTCAGACAGACATAGGAAGAACTTTCGAAATGGAAATGGAAAGGTTTTTGTTTGGGAGAAGGGAAGGCACTTCCGAAAACCCAGCCATATTCTTTAGCTTGAGGATTTGCAAGGGCAAGTCCACTGTGATGGTCAAAGATCTGCTATATCAGACTTTCCAATGGCTTCTCTTCCATCTGTCACCTCTGTCAATCACCTCCTTTTCTGTGTCTCTTCTGGAACTTCTGTGACAGACTCGCACTGGGTCTTGTTGCCCCTGTGTCATTGCTCACCTCTGTCCAGGCCCAGCTAATTCACTGTTCACCCAAGTAACAAAATCCCCATTTAAAATGCAGATCCCACCTGGTGTACTGACGTTTGCTGCTATGAGAAAACAATTTTAGGAAGGAAGGACTTAGCTTAGCTCATAGCTCAAGAGTATAATTCCTTATGGTGACAGGAGCATGAAGCAGCTAGTCACATCAGATCCACATTCGTGGAGCAAAACAGATATTCAGTCTACTTTCTCCTTTTCTTCAGCCCAGGTCCCCACCCACAACAAGGTGGGCATTCTTTCTTCAAATTCTTCCTTCTGTCAGCATTGCCATAGACACACAGAGGCACAGATACACAGAGGCATGTTTCCATGGTGACTCTAAATTCTGTTGACCATTAGATTATCAATCACCCTGCATCATTACATTACATATCATCTCCTATGACTATGCCATGTTCAAAGGCTGGACCCTGTTTGCAGGCTTTTCTGTGTATGGCAAACAAGTCCCCCCACAGCCTATCTATCCCCTCTTTTCATCTTACTTCTGTTCTAACGCTTGGCTCTATGCTCCAGAGATGCTGTAGTATACTCAGGTCCTCTGGATGCTAACCATCCGCACCCATTTCTGTCAGTGCAGGGGCTGTTATCCTCCACTCAAGTTTCTAGACCACTGTGGACATCATGAGTGCAGCATGATCTGTCTTGCTTTACCTCCCCTTCTCCTCCTTTACCCCTCCCTTTTCCTCCTCCTCTCTGAACCTAGCACAGCCCTTAGAAGTTGCTATGCAATTTGCATTGAATAAATAAATGCCCCTTCCTTCTACCACCTCCTGTGGCTCTCTTAAGGTGTTTACTTTATTATATTGTGATTATTTAGGTCTCTAGCTTTCCTCACTAGATAGTGGAGGCATTGAAATTTGTAAGTCAAACTACATTATTTTTTCATATCTGTAAGATGAATATTAAGTAAAGCGCTGAAATATTGCTCAACAATTTTAATTTATGATGATGATGATGATGATGATGATGACGATAGTGATTGTGTGTGTGTGCCTGTCCATGTGAGTTTATGTGCACCACATATATGCAAAAGCTTGCAGAGGCCAGACTAAGGCATTGGATGCCTGGAACTTGACCTACATTCAGTTGTGAGCCACTATGTGGATGCTGAGAACCAAACCAAGTCTTCTCTAAGAACAGTAAACGCTCTTGACCACTGAGCCAACCTCTCCAGCCCTTCAAGTTCTTACAGAAATGCAATCTATGACTTCCTTCACATTGTTAAGAAATTCAGTCTATGACTTCCTTCAGGTTCTTACAGAAATTCGGTCTATAACTTCCTCTTCTGTTTACTTATTACTGGTCAAATTCCACCAGACGGGAATCCCTCAGTCAAAATGTACGAACATACTTTGAGTTCATGACACACACTCTGGCTTGCTCCCGGGGCTTCAAGCCTTTGCTGTGATGTTGCAGAGTTGCAGTAGTGTGTGAATGTATTTGCCTTTACTCCGTCCCTCACAGTGCTTACATCGTTTTGGCATTCATTATTTCGAAGTAATCTAGCAGGATTTTGTATATGCCAAATGTTGGGGCAGGTTGCTTTAAGACATATTTTCTCACCTTTTCTAAACTGCTACTTCCAAAGGAGGAAGGAGGAATCCGGGTGTAGAGGAAGGATGTTCCGGGCCTTCTGGGATGGGTCGCCAGCTCTACGGTGCCAGAATCTCTTTAACCAGTCAATCCGTTGGTCCCTGGATATATATATGAAAAGAATCAAGTCACTAAAGAAACTAAAGGTTTCTCACAGAGAAGTTCAATCCAGGAAACAGCTTATCCTTCCATGGACATATAACCAAGGTGGAAACTTCTAGACTATCCTTGAGCTTATCAAGCAGCTTTGCAGTTTGCTCGTCACTGACTTCTGACTTAGAGCAGTTGCTATGCCTCCTGGGCACTGTCTCAGCCAGTTAAGTCCTCTATATCTCTTCCCTGTCATCTGTTCTGTCAGTCATTTGAAGCCTGCGACACAGGTGCGGAAACATTGTTAAGTAAAAGAATGAGCTGGAGCAGCCTACAGGGGTTGCCTCACAAGTCCTCTCTGAAGGGAGCCTGGGCTGTAACGTGATGGGACATTTGGGGCCTGAGCTACCCAGGCAAGAGGAAAAAGAAGTGCCGACGTCTGGTATTTTAGGTCTCATCATACTTTCTGTTTGGATAACACATCAAGTTTGACTTAGCCAGCGAAGCAAAATCCTATATTTAATGAGTCAATAAAATGCCTGGAGCATCAGAGGCTGAGACTAAGGGTAGGGACTTGATTTTCCACTGAGCTAAAAAGCGGATAGTCGTGCCAGCATGCCCCGATGAGACCTGGAGATTTCTGCTCAAAGAGTCCTGGCTTTAAACATGTTTTCCTCTTCCTCCTCTCACATACGGCAGCTTCGGAAGGAGATGGGAGACTTGTCTAGAGAGTTAACCGCTGTCACCTAAATTGTTTTGATAACCCACATCTCTGAGATTCACAGCTTAGTGACACCCACCTTGGCACTGATCCTTTGGGGTAGATGATGGGAAGGGGGATAACACAGGTTCAAGGCTGGGGTCCTGAGGCCGAGTCTACTCTGATGTGTTCACTGGCTTGAATAGAAACAAACCTTTTAGCTTCAGAACCATGCAGGGAGAGAAAAGGGTTAGCAAAGACCATTTTGTAATATTCAAACTAATCTCAAGTAAGAGCTTTAAAGGCCGGATTGCTTCAGCAGGGGTGTAGTTAAAACTTACTGGAGTGACATCCTCTCTGCTGTCAGACTCGGGTCCTCATGCACAACTTACACTTTATCAGTTAAACATCCTAAACACCTGAGCCCTGTTCATGCATTCTGAGCATGCATTTTGTTTTTTGAGAGGGCCATGAATAAGAAGTCCTTAGACTCCCTTTCCAGAAGGCACATATAATTATTTTTGCTTTAAGAAACAAAACTGAGGTCTGGAGAGATGGCTTAGCAGTTAAATGCACTGGCTGCTCTTCCAGAAGACTTAGGTTTGATTCCCAGGACCCATATGGCAGCTCACAACTGTCTACAACTCCAGTTCTAGATGATCTGGTAGCTTCCTCTGGTCTGTATATGAACAGTAGGTATACACGTGGTACAGAGACACACATGAAAGCTAAAAATCCACACATAAATTAAAAATAAATTTAAAAAACCAAAACTTTCTCATTAGAGTCAATTACAAATCCAACTGAGTCTCATCGCTGCTAACACTATAATTAGTAATAATTGACAGGGAATGTCTAAAGTTCCCATATGTAATAGGCAGAACTTTATAGATATCCTATCAAGAATACATACAATTAAACACCAATTAAGGTACTGTTATGAAGGGATTTTGCAGGTGGCATTAAGGCATTTATCAGCTGGCTGTAAAATCAAGAGATCACCCTGACTGCGCAGGTGGGCCCAATGAAACCACTATGCCTTTACAAACAGGAGAGGTAGGCTGGAAAGAAAATGAGGAAGGGGCCAAGGAGATGTGGCTGAGGAGGAGGGGGTCACTTTGCTCTCGCTGGCTTTGAAGATGGAGGAGAAGATGACAAGCCAAGAAGGACAGTCAACCCTTAGATGCAGAGTGACTCCCTTAGGACTCAAGGATACAGGGACCTTGGTCCTAAGAGCAACGGAGCTCTGATGACCTCACTGAGTTTGGATGTGGTTTCATCTACGGAGTATCTGAAAAAGAGCATTGCACTTCAGACCAGTGAAGCTAAGCAGAGACCCATGCGACTTCTGGAAGCTAGGAAGTAATCCTTTTGTGCTGTTGAAGTTATTGTGCTAGTAGTGATATGGTAAGGCAGGAACACTAGATGCGCACACCTGGGAATACTCATGTGCTTGGCATACAGTTTGAAAATCATTGCCTGATGGAGACTTTCACAAGTCCTCTGTTATTACCCATTTACACACTTCTGGAAAAGTTGAATTGTTTTCTTGGTTTTGATTTTCAGAAGTAGAGAAAAAAGGTAAATGCTGTTATTGTTTAAAATATATAAGAAATACTTGGGATGGTATAAACTCTTACCAGCTGTTCAGTGAATAGCCGACTTCTTGGATTTTATTAATACCTGTCATTTACTAAAATGCTGTATGACAGGTGTTGTGTTAATTATCTACTAATTGTCCCCATCAGTGTTCATAGCAACCTTGTAAGGTAGGCACAATTATTTTTTTTTTGAGACTCGGCAGAAATATCTAGAAGCAGAAAGTCATTAAAAAAGAATAGAAGCTAGATGTGAACCTAAATGGTATCTTTCTACTGCTGATGTCTTGAGACAGGTTTAAGTGCATTATTCAGGCTGGTCTTGAACTTGTGGACTGAAGTGATCCTGCTGATGGTAGAGCTGGGTGTAGATCCCTGCTAGACTTCCTGCTTTACCTTGTGAGTCAATGGGTACAGGTCTTGGCCTTTGGGTTGGGCTCTCCCTGGTCACATGGGCAAATTTACAGTCTGCTGCCTTTCAGTACTTTCCTGCTTCAGAGGCCTCAATGAGAATGTGTTGGGCCATTCAAATGTTTTCTTTAAGATAGGGTCTTGCTCTGCTGCCCCCCTTGCTTGATTGTTATATGTGATATGTAGACCAGACTGGCCTTGACTGTCAGGTCTCCTGAGTTCTGGGATTACAGGTAGAGCTACTCTTACCTGGCCCAAATGTTTCCTTTATCACTTGAGATCATCCCAAAGCTCAGGAGGAAGTCACCTTGTTTTGTAGGGGAACCTGTAGCCACGCCTGCTTAGGGGCTGGCTACAGGTCTGCCTGACCACGCCTAGGGAAGTAGTCAGGGTGCCATAGTGTAAGAGTTTGAGTTGTCTGAGTTTCACTTTCAGTTTTGAGCCCCCCTTTCAGCTTGCGTACAGACTGATGCCACACCGGCTGGCTAGGTCTCTCTGTAAGTAAGGCTTTTCCCTAATAAATACCCTTATATTTCTACTTGGCTCCGTATTAGTAATTTCCCACTATATTGTTTAGTGTTTGTGATAGTGGAGATTTATATTGTTTCCTTGATGTATGATCTCAGGTTTACAAAGATGGGTTGTAAAAGTTGCTTTGGGGCCTTTTTACCCCCCAAGACAGGGTTTCTCTGTGTAACAGCCCGTGCTATCCTGGAACTTGCTCCGTAGACCAGACTGGCCTCTAACTCACAGAGATCCATCTGCCTCTGCCTCTGAGTGCTGGGATTAAAATCATGCTCCACTGCCTTTTAAGAGAGTAGTTAGAAGGAAGCTGATACAAAGCCCCTTCGTATCGTCAACTCTGTACTGAGAAGTTGCTTGTGTATTACAAGTACCACACTTATAGCCATGCTCACAGATGAGGAGGGAAGCTGCACCTCGAGAGTAGGAAACTTTTATAGCAATTGAGGTTCAGAGTCCGTATGTCTACCGACAAAGTCTTCCTACACATATAGTTGCTTATATGAGGGGAAGAGTAGTGATAGGAGAGAGTACTTTTGCAGTTAATGATAGCGGCCTAGAGATGGGTCAGGGGGTGTAAGTGTTTTACCATGAAGTTCTGAGGTTCTGAGTTCAAATCCTTAGAAGTCATGTAACAGGAAGTGGAAGAGCCTGCAGTAGCAGCATCCTGTATACAGGGGCATGGGCAGGAGAGACCAAGGAATCTTCAGACATAGGCCAACTGGTGTGCACAGGGGGAAAACAATGGAGTCCAAAGTAAAGACTGACACCTACGGTCTTTCTCTGGCCTCCACATGTGTTGTAGCATGTACATGCCCACTTGAACTCACACGCCAATGCGCACACATACACACGTTGTACACAGAAGAAAGACAGTGATAGAATTGCATTTAGGTATCCTGAGTTTGGTATGTAAATCAGAGGCAGTATGAAATCAAATTCAACATCTCCTTCACCAGAACAATAGGATTTTACAGCTATAGGCATGAATTATGTTTTGAAAGAACACTAGCCCACTTGAGTATGTGACTCTGGAAGGCCTTGCCCTTCTCCCCAATTCCCTTTACCTTGATAAAAACCATGAGATTATATTCCAAAAGTTGGCCACCAAGGTCTATTCTTTTATTTGGTCACTTCTTCCTCCTGAGGCTGACTACCAAGGTCTGGCTATCAAAGTATTAAATAAAGTTCAGCAATCAAAAGCCCCTTTTGGCTCACCCAATTAGCATGCCCAATTAAAATACATCACACATTGTAACAGAGAAAAGGAAATTGTAAGGCCCATGTCTGTGTCTATGGGTCTTACCACAGCTGGTGTCTGTGTTGATGTGTGTGGCCCGTGTTACCACCAAAGGCCACATGCATGCCTGGCGTCTAGGCCGCAATGTGTGGCCATGTGGGTGCCCAAGGGCCATGCCAATGTGAGTTGCTTGTGCTGTCACCTGAGGCCACGGTGTCATCAGGGCCAGGGCTGCTGCTGAGGGCTGTGTCTGGGTTTGTTTCCCTATTACAGGACATGTGTTGATGTCCATGGCTCCTGGTACCATCAAAGGCCATGCTGAGGCCTAGTGTCTGAGGGCCAAGCTGCCTGGGGAAGGGGGTGGAGGGAGCATGCTGATCTGAGTGGCTGCCACCTGGGGCCATGGTGACATCCCGGTCCCAGCTGCTGCCTAGGGTCATATTTGGGTTTGTGGGCCTGTAGCCACCAGGTTCTGAGTTGATGCCCATGGCTCCTGTTACCACTGAGGGCTGTGCAGATGCCTGGGGTCTGATCAACATTCAGCATATCCAAAGGCCTTGCTGCCACTGAAGCCGTACTTATCTGGATAGCCTGTACTACCACTGGGACCAGGGTGCCTAGGGCCATGTCTGTGTTGGTGTCTGTGTTGATGTCCATGGCCCACGTTACCATAAGGGGTCATAGCAGCTATTCATGTTAAAATCCAAGGGCTGTGCTGAGCTGGCATTGCCCTTCACTGGCCCTGAGATAACTGGCCTTGCTTCTCGCTGGACATTGTAGCAGGATTGCTGGCCTTGATGGTGTGGGCCTAGGAGAGCTTGCTCCACCACTCATCTGAGTGGGGAAGTCCCAGTGGCCACAGCAACTAGCTCAGCTACCACCCAGACCCACATCCTGGGCTTTGGGTTGGCCCACCCTCACATCTACCTCATCTGTAGCCTGCTGGAGTACAGGAAGGGACTGGTTCTGTGGACTAGTCCCAGGACCTCCATGACATGTGGCAACACCAGGATACTGAAGAGGGGTTTTGGTGAGGGTCCAGTGATGATGCCGTACCAGAGGCCTTAAACTGGACCAGTGACTCAGTGCAAAGAACATTTTGGTGGTGGTGCTGATTGAACAAAAGGGTATGCTGTGTGACACACCTCAGCTCCCAATGCTACTAGAATGAATGAAGAGCTGTTGGAAAGATGGAGGAGCAAAGTGGGTTTTTTGTTTGCCTTATTTTGTTTTTGATTAATTTGGGGAGGTTCTCTTGTGAGGATGCTACAGGGGTGAGGGGCAGATATGAAGGGACTGGGAGTGGGGTGTGTGATGTGAAATTCCCAAAGAATCAATAAAGAATCATGTTATTAAAATTTTTCAATTAAAAAAGTGCTTTATAAATAGCATGAATGTAAGGGATAAATAGTTGCTTTAGATGTGCAATATTGCTGATCATATATAATGTTAAATAGGAACCCGAATCTGAATGAATTAGCTTTTCAAAAAGCAGGGAAAAATATCTAGAGCTCTATGGGTTTTACAGCTATTGACTGAAGCTCATTATGAAATACAATGAACCAGATAACAATTAAATATAAAGATGAAACTTGCTCAGAAATGCATGTTGTAGTAAGGGGAAAACCCATGAGGTGTGGGAGGGTTCTTGAAACCATGTATAGATACATTGGAAGTTCAGATTTCAGTGTGTCTGTTCCGGGGTTGAATGCT